GAACACACGAGGTGAGCATGAACGCACCACACATTCAAACAGAGGCAGTTACAGACTCCTATGCAGGAACAATCACGCACCCCTGCAGCTGCTCATTGACACGCACAGCCTCCTCCACTGGCTGTCACAGAGAATGGAGTTCTTTTAGCCTTCCTTCCCCAGAGCTCCCAGGCCGTGGTGACTGAGCTGGCAGCGTGACTGCCCGCACGAGGTGAGCATGAACGCACCACACATTCAAACAGAGGCAGTTACAGACTCCTATGCAGGAACAATCACGCACCCCTGCAGCTGCTCATTGACACGCACAGCCTCCTCCACTGGCTGTCACAGAGAATGGAGTTCTTTTAGCCTTCCTTCCCCAGAGCTCCCAGGCCGTGGTGACTGAGCTGGCAGCGTGACTGCCCGCCAGCGGGAGGCTGCCGGAATTCCGATGAGTTAATCTCATCACTTTATCACAGGGCACTTACAGAAATTACAAGCCAGCGCGAGCAGCTCAGCTGTGCTGGCAGCCGGCCGCAGGACCCATAAAAGAAATTGAGAGGGGGAAAAAAAAGTCAAAGAATACTTTGCTGAAGTTTTGAAGACAGTCACTTTTCTTGGACGAGTTTTGCTTGGCTGACGCTGACTGACTGCGTCTTTCTCTCTTCTGCCATGCCCTCCTCATTTCCCCCCAAAATGAAGAGCCATTTCAAGCAACGGTGTCTTCCCTGCACTTCATCTTGTTTACAGCAGAGAAAACATTTTGGGTTAAATGATATTTAATTCTACAGAAGCAAAGGAAGTTTTATACCAAGGTGAATTGTCATGAAGGGGGACACAGCCTGAACTCTCCATTGGCTTGCATATTTGCGCCTGTACAAGCTAGATGTAAAATGCAGTTCTGCTTTGATATGTGTCACTGGTGTAACTGACGACACAAGGTGTGTGACTCAGAAGAAAGGGGCACAGAAGCATGGCTTGAACTAAAAGAGAAGCAAGGGAACGAAGGATCCACTATGCAAGAGATTGCTGCATTCCCATCCTGAAGGGTTATTCTGAGAGCTGAAATGAGCACCCTCTTTTCACTCTGCTGTGGCTATTGTACTGACTGTGGGCAGCCACTGGCTCTTGCATACAGACTATAGCATTTATAGGCCAGCACGCCATCAGGCACTGTTAGAACTTTTTCAGGGCATCTTCATGGGACGGTCCCAGTTTCTTGCATGACAATTGGCTCCTCAAATTGAGGGTGAAAGGAAGTGGTGTGATCTTTGCCTTCATCCAGCTGTGATGACCTTGAGCTCCAATACAATGAGCCCTTGCCATCCATTGATGCAAACTTTTGATGCTAGACTCAAACCTTATAGCAGCGTAGTCCAGTGTTGCTGTATGATGAGATGACTGCTGAAATCCCATAAAACTAAGCTGCTGAGTGCCTCTTAGTGGGCAGTGGGCTTCCTTTGGAAATGCTGGGGTCTTTCTTGTGAAAGAGAGGCTTAGAAACAGGAAAATAGGCAACTTCTTCCCCCTCCCCCCCAAAAAAAGGATAAGCCTGCCATGTGCTGCTTCTTTGGGGTGTTATTTCTCCATTTCCTCACATGTGGGACATAGTGGCTGTGCAGCCTGGAGGCCGGGGCTCTCTGGTCTCTGATTCACTGGCTGTACGGGAACAGGAATGGAAGTTGATTCATTTATTACCTTGGGACCAACCCTGCATCTCAATTTCCAGCTGGCAAAGAGATTTGATACTTAGCTGGCTATTGAAATTCAGGTGCTATACAATGCTGAGATATAGACTGAATGGACGTGGCTCATGCAACTCTCTCTGTTTCTGAATAGTGTCTGTGTCTTGAGTCCAACTGTGTGATGGCAGGACTGCGAGCATGCAAAAGGGCGATGGCTGAGAATTGTACAGTGATGCTGGAGATCACTCTCAGGACGCAGGCTTGACAAGACAAGACTGAAGGGGAAAGCTCTGCATACTGCATGCCGACATCAAGTCTTTGTGCCTTTTGGGGCTTACAGTGCTCCTGGCTCCAGGTCACCTGTGTGGGGCTGATATTGTCCCACATAAACTTGTGAGATTAACAGCTGGTGAATCCTTCAGTTCGACTTTCCCGTCTGTGCCCATCTATAGCATTCAACTCAGTTTTTCAGTGGGCTTTACAGGGGTTAGTTTAGCTAAACACCTCTCACCCCAATCCCATCCAATAGGTGGATATTAAAGCATTCCCTTGATGAAAGGACTTGTTGAAGATCACACAAATCTACTGCAAATGCAGGAACAGAATTCAGGAGTCCTAACTCCCAGACTTCTGCTCCAGCCCCACTAAATCAAACTCTG